ACAATGATAATAAATCTGTTGTCAAAATAAGAACTCAAATATTAAGAGCAACCAAGGTAATGGCCCTTCATGTCAGAATCGTGAAAAAGAGGCTTCCTCAAAAGAATGAGCCTGCAGCTGGGCTTTGTAGAAGGAGGCAAAACAAATGAAATCAACATGCAAAAAGGATTTCTTGGAGACAAGGATGGCAGGCTACCTGTTAGTGGGCAATCTGACATGTTTGGCAAGTTCTCCATCAACGTTCGACATACCTGTCATTAGAGAGTGAAATGGGCCAAACAACGTGCAGGATCTCAGCAAAGCATATGAGCAGATTCAAATTAATTCACAGCTAAAGTACTAGAGCAGCCATCTCCCCAGGAAAGTTGCTTTCCTGGTACCCTGTCTTGCCTGAGGAATATTCAACCACTGGCCTTGTTCACAATATGCACTGTTAATGTTCTCATTGTTCTGCATCTGTGAGGCACTTTACAGTTTCCAGAAGTGCTTTTTGCTGTTAGTAGCACGTAGTGACCTTTTATGAACCAACTTCAGAAAGTTAACAGAATGAAGAAAATGGATGAAATTATTTGACCTATGAAAAATCTCTGGATGATTTAAAAAAAATAGAGAATTTATACAGATTTGGCATGATTAGCATCCAAAGAATAGTACAACAAGTACCTTTTCCCCTTATAATATCTATTAGGTCGAGTTTCATGAATTAAAGATACAAGAATTGTAATTTGCTCCTGGACAATTTAAAAGGGATAAAAGTATCATCTCCTGAATTTCGTAAGCTGTTAAAACACATGTATTTTGCATTTTTAAAATTTCTTTGACCAAATTATCCAAATTAATAAAGCTGTCAAAATTAGAAATAAATATTTGATTAATATGTTTTCTGGTTAACTTTATATAGTAAATCAAACATAATTTGATATTTTAAAAAATAATTTGCAACTCAGAAAGCCTTCTGATCATTGTTAATTTGAGCCAAGAGGAAATCAGAAGACAGCTGAACTTGAACTGACTTTAGTGCTCAAATGAGGAAAAGGTCAGTTTTTAAAACAGTTCCATATAATTAATGGTTCTGGCAAGTTAGAATACAAATTATCAGGCTTCTAAAGAAAATAAAAATTTTTAACAAATGGTGTATTTTCAATTATTTTAACTATATATTCTGCCTCCTAGACTTGGCCATGATAGCCTTACAAGTTTGTTTTATGCCTGTAGAAGACACTTTTACCAAAAACTCTTGAGAAATTCACCTTATCAGGTAGGTAACTAGATATTGAAGATCTGACATATTGAGCCAAGCCTTTTTTCCTAGACTCAAAATGTTCCATTACTTAGAACTTTGGCAACTTTGTAGAGTAAACCTAATGACAAGCTTCCCTCTCCAAATGTCCCAATCAGGTCTTGAAAAATCCTGAGGCCCTTTCAAAGGCCAAGGTACAATAAAATCTGGTTTTGGTTTTAGGGAAAGTCAATTTGACTCTGATTATTAGAAAATTAATCATCTATAAATGATATGTGGACTATACACAAATATTTGGTTTAAAAAGCAGTGCTTTTTATAGTCAGTCCAGAGTTTATTTATTTCTATTCATAAATTTAATTATTTACATTGAACCCTCCCCCCTGCAATTATCTATCACCATAGAGTTGCAAACATGAGTGAAATGTTCAACAGAATGACTAAATTTCCCCATTGCCATAAAAAAAAAATAGCACATATTAACCTGGCAGTAAAAATTGTAGGAAGAAACCCCAAATAAATCTAAGACCAGGGAAAAAAAAAAGAGGGTATCAAATTTCCCCCAATCACAATTATAATCTTCAAACTACATACTCCATGTAAAGTTTCACTAACTGATCAAACTAGGAGAGAAATTATGCAAACAAAAGGGTTTTTGTTTGGTTGTTTTTTTATTTTTTGTTTTCTTTTCCTTTTTTTTGGTACATAGTAAAAGAAAAACTCGTGGATAATCATAAGCTCCGCTCCACCAGGAAAAAATAACAAGATTTAAAATTGTTGTAATAAGGCAGTGGTTAAGAATACAACTACATTATGCTAATTATCATAGTTATACCATTAGCCAATGTAAATTACTATACTTATTAAAGGGACAAAAATGACTCTGGCTTAGCAGATATAGATAAGTTATAGTAAGGTTTATAGGCTGAGACTAAAATTATGCCTCTTTTGCAATAAAAATAATGGTTTAAAACAGAAAATAATAAATAACCTGCGTGAATATGCAAGTGTATAATAATTAGCTTAACTTTTATAGAGGGCAGGACCTCAGTTTTATTATCAATAGTGTATCATATTCACTTCAGTTCTGTGCAAACTGTAGCCTGCTGTAGTTAAAGTAAATGTTTGGCATATCATTATGACTTTCATTCCTACAACAGCACATTCCATTTTTGTTTTTTGTTTCTTTCCTGCTTTTTTTTTTTGCACCAATGAAGACAGAACCAAAATAATTTTCAAGACCTTTTAACCCAATTATTATTTTAAATGATTTCCCCCAAACCCAGGCCAAAAGCTTAGGAAATAGCTTTGACATCTCTCCACAATGAATCAATTGCCAAGAAAGACTTATGGATTCTATTTGCTAAATGATTCACAAATCTGTTTCTCTCCTACTATTAATATTCAAAGTCCATCTAACCCTCATTCCTTACCTCAATTCTACCAATAGGTCTAATTGGTCTCTCAAGCATACCTTGAACCAGTCACACACTTACATGTAATCTTTCTCCTTAGCTTTGCTGTTCCAAGAATAATTGCCAACAGCCTCACCTAGACCTATAAACTCTATGTAATTCAGCACCAAATCATTCTCCAATTTTGCTTCCATCTAACTTTGATATTCATATTCTATCCTTTCCTGATTTTTTTTTTTTAAAAAATCCTTCAGTTTTCTATTCTTCCTGCCTTATGGCTTCTCCTCTTCCTCTGTCTTTCCTTCCTCCTCAGTGCTCTTCCCTCCAACTATCAAATGCTCAGCTCAATAATCCCTTCCTTAGACAAGTTCACTTGGATATCCATCTAGGTTATGTCAATAATTACGTGCATCATATTCTGGTCTCTATATAACTACTGCAATTCAGATTATTGTTTACATGTCTGCCTCTCCTGTCCTGCAAACCCTCCCTCCCCAACACACTCAAATGCATACACTTCGTGACAGAGAAACTTCATCAGTGTTCTTCTATTCTGGATTTTTCAGCCCTAAGAACAATTCCTGCTACACAGTTTGAACTCCCACCAAACTGTTGCCTAGCACCAAACCTGGGGGGAAAATGCCCATAGATTAGGCACTAAGGGTGGTTCCATTGAATAATAAACCTGGGTACAGAGCAGCAGGAACTAATCTACCCTGAAAAGATCATGACCTTGTTTACCCTAAACATTTATTATGAACATCAATAAGTGGAGGGTACAAATAGCTGCAGGATGTCACTCACAGTGTAGTAGGGACATCCTAAGAAAACAATTTCAGTGAAAACACTTTCTGAACAATAATGAGCTACACTCTACAAATGTAAGTTATTACTGCAATATATGTATATAGGTGTGTATAAATGTTGATTTTAAGGTGTATTTAGATATAAATGTTTCTATTTCTCTTACTGTGCTGTGATTTTTCTCAAGGGTATTGAGTCTTCTTTTCAAGAAGTAAAAATTACCTTTGTTTTTCAAAGCTAAAACAAATACAGTCTTCTTTTCCTGGTCTTACCCAGTAAAGGTTATACAATGGTTGCTTAAAGGTGTTTCATGAATGAAGATTTCAATGGTCTTTAGTGAGGGACCCAAAAGCCATACATAGTGACAGGCTTTGCAAGGAATAGTTAATAAGCAGATTGCACATAGCTTTGCTCTGGAAAGTATGTGTAATTTCACCCTGTACTTTTCACTCAGCACTCACAGATTAATGCATGGGTGCTAGAACTGAGTATGAAGCAAAGACTTGATAGAAAGAGACTTACCTCTCTGTGTATTTTCCCCAAGAAGGAACCCAGTTAAGTAGCAATCAGCAATCTTTTCTTGCTAATTGAGATCGAATTCTACAGATTTCACTATAAAAATATGAGGAAATTATCTAGCCACTTATTTCAGAAGGAATTCTTAAATTTATTGCTTTTTAAAACTCCAAAAGTTTTATTTTTAAGAATAATTTTTCTTGCCTACAATTTAAAAAATTATGTTATCATAAACAAACAGAAAAAAGTTATGAAAAATACAAAACTGTTGAAAGCAAACAGTATAATATTGGTATAGGAATAATCAGAGGTTCCTCCCCTCATTATAATTGATGAAACACTCTAGAGAAAATAAAAAAGGCAAAACAGAATTTTTTCTAATTTAAAATTTTTATTTTTTGTCATTTTCATAGAACTAGGGATTGAACCCAGGAGTGCTGTATCTCTGAGCTGTACCCGCCCCCCAGCCGTTTTTATTCTATTTTGAGACAGGATCTTGCTAAATTGCCCAAGCTGGCCTTGAATTTGCAATCCTCCTGCCTCAGCCTCTCAGGCAGCAGGGATTATAGGGTACCACTGCATCTGGCTGCAATTCAGGAATTTAATATTCAGAAGTTGCAATTTCACTTGAATAAAGAAAAGATAATTTATTTAGAAACAGCAATGATATTTGTGGTAATCCTTTTGAGAGAAAAGGGATATCATATACTAAAACTCCAGTTTGCTTGAAGATTTAGATGTAACCTAAACCAATAACAATATTAGAAGAAATTTTAGAAGACGATATCCAACCAACAGGTCAAAGGTAGATATATTGGATGGTGTAAATAGTACGATTTTATGTGACAAATAATTCTATTAAAAATCTATTGGCAGATAATATATTAAGGAAATTTTTATAATACAGATAACATTAAAGTGTTAAAGTCTAGAATCCACAAATAGTTTTTCAAATTGATAAAAGATACAACACCCATGTCAATGAACCTTAAAAATATTAAGTTAAAGGAGCCAAACACAAAATGTGACTCATTGTAGGATTTTATTTATATGAAATGTCCAAAATAAGTAATCCATAGTGACAAAAAGCAGAATGGTGGTTACCAGGGAATGGGGAAAAAGAATAGGGAGCAACTATTTAATAGGAACATGGTTTCATTTCAGGGTGCTGAAATGGTTAAATATTATGTTAATTTTGCTTCAATTAAAAAAATATAGTTATAACACCCAATATACATAAGAAGCATTTACATAGACATCTCATGTACTCACCTTAATTACCAATAAACTTATAAAAATCTCCATAGCAAAAAAGGCAAATTAGAATACTATAAGACATTTTACATCAATAAGATTAGAAAAATTAAAAGGAGAGGTAACACCTACTGCTGGTGAGGATTCAGGTAAACAATTAAAACAAGCTGCTGCAAATACAAATTGCTGCAGAACATCTTTGAAAGTAATACAGAGAGTTTATAAATTAAAACTGTACATAGCCTAGTTCTAGTAATGTTATTCCTGGGAATCCATATCAATAATAAAAGCATCATTAGGTAAGAATATATGTTGAAGTACATTTACTGAAATACAAAAGAATTGCAAATACATGAAATGCCTTCAACAGGGAAACCACTGAATATCAGCTAATGGAGAGATTTTTCCAATGTCAAGCGACAACATGCAGAGAAGCTTATATAATGTGGTACTGTTTTTGCAAAGCAAAGGAAATACATATATTTATATATGAGCACGGGAAAGTCAGGGACTACTGCCATTAGTGATGTATGATGTGGGGATAGAAGATGTTTGTGGTCTAAGCAGGAGAAAAGAGCAAGATGAAAAGAAAAATTTAAGGGACCATTTTAACCAAGTACAAAATAAAAATTTAGGTACTCAGCAATACAGATCCTGAAAGTAAGGAGACTCCTAAGCCCATCAGTATGGAAGAAGTCCAGTGTAGTACATATGGTCTAGGCACCTTTTCTCTATCAAAACTCCTCCTTTGGCCAGGTGGGAATCTCTCTATTCTCTCTTTTGTTTTCTTCTCTTTCTTTCTTGGTGCTGGGGATGGAATCCAGGGCCTCACACCTGCTAAGCACACATTCTATCATTGAACTACACCTCCAGCCTGTATTTATCTATTCTTTTTTTTTGCAGGGGGGGGGGTGGAAGAATGTGAGACTGAGATCAGAAGCCACTGTATATCCCATATGCCTAAATAAGGGTTCCTCCTCTCATTACCAGTTAGACCTTGGATGTGTTAAAAATATTTAACCTGAAGTTTCTCCATTTAGAGCTTTACACCTTTGGAATGTTGTACCTGACTGATAGAGTTTCTGAAAGAATTCAGTGAGTTTATTTGGTGAGCTCTCAGTAAATGAGAGCAAGAACCCCAAACTATAGAAAATCTAGTACTTTTCCCACTACCCATGCCACTTCAAATTCCACTACTGGAATTTAGAAGAGTTTTCTAATTAAAAAAAAAAAATCCACCAGAGTGGCCTCCTTATGATTATGTGAGGGATTAAAAAGAAATTCCCTATCTGTGATGCATAAAGAATTAAAGCATCTTCCCCTAGAAAAGACAACAAGATTTAATTATGGTTGACTCCAGTTTAGGAATGTTTTTCAAGTGTTTTGCTTCTGTTTTTCTATTTTCAAATAAGATCTTCACACAATCTGACACCTGCAAAGTGAACATATTATAATAACAATCTCTTAATATCGCTTTAAAATCTGTTGTGGCTTACATCTCACTAAAGGTCCAGATGAGAGCTTTTGAGACTAGATTTCTACAGGATCAGACACCCCAGTACTTCCCTAACTTCAATTATGACTAGTCTCTACCCCAGTTCTCTCTGGGCTTTAGCCACAGTCACACTCTTCTCCACGTTACTTCATTTACATAACTGGTTGCCTGCCTCAGGATCTTTGCACTTACCTCTCCTTCACCTGGAATGAAGGTGCAACAAATCCCCATTTATCCTTGTTAGGATTTCTTATTGAGCAATAATCTTGCTTAGTCAGTTTAGCAAAATCCCCCACCCTAGAAATCTGAGCACCTTCAAGATTTTCTCTCTCTGGCTTGCCTTCAACAAGAATTCCGTTGAGTTGTTCTATCATGAATCCCTCTTTCCCCTGATGTTTCTTCCTAGTAAGTTTCATTCCACTGTCCCCACACTGCTCCTTAGGCATAAATCACTGCTTGTCCTGGAAGCGAGCCCAATCTCTCCCCTTCTCCCCCACCACACACACTGAAAAACCCCATTGCAGTGGTCCCTACAGCCATCTCCATGGCTCCGCTTCAGTAAAGTCTGTTTTACCATCTTGAACAAGTATCAAGTTATTTTCTTCTTTAACACATGACAGCTTTAAAAGGAAGATATTTTAAAACAAGTTTATTGAATTAAAAACAAGTCTCCTTTTTCGGATTTGAAGAAAAAATAGCAAAGATTTCAAATTGTTGGTTTGCATAAGATTAATGAGTCAACCAGGAGAGTTGAACATTATCTGCATGTGGTTGAGGTGCCAAGAGAAATGATAATTGCTCAATATAGGTGTTCATGAGATAGAGATTTAAGAAAAGAAATACCATCTGATCCAAAGGAAGGAGTCTTAATAATGTGAGGTTATCTCTAATTAAATAACACAGATGAAACAAGATGTCATGTGCAAAAGATGTCTTCTTAATTCTGCACTTCAGATTCTACCATACAAACACATTCCTAAGAATAATTAATGTTGCCCCATAGCTATATTTAGTCCCTTTGGTTATGACCATAGAAAAGATGACAGGGCAGGTGTCTCTAAGAGAGATGAATAGATGGCATTGACACCCTGGAAAAAAAAACAGGAGTTAATTCTCAGAAGGACCTAAGATTTTGACAGTGCTACAAAACGTACTGATTAAAAGAGGAAGAACTATCATGTTGATAGGAATTCATATTGAAGTGGGACATTTTCATTACCATAAGATGCAAAAGAAAATGAGATCTTATTAAGACATATTTAAAAAAAAAAGATAATGTCTATTACTTCAGGATGTGAATTGGAACAGAACCTTCTCAAGCCAAGTCAATCAGTTGATCTCTGTTTGCTCAGGAGCCACCTGGTGGCCCACCCTTTGCTGAACACATTGAAGGATACAAAAGAAACTTCCCACAGGATCCTTTTCTCCAGGAGGACTGTAATCTAGTTGGGAATAGAAAACAAGTGGTAAGATAAGTCAAGAAGTATAATATCACAAGAGGACAATGTTGTCATCGCTCTGGAAAAGGTGTGACCAGAAGTGAAGCTTAAAAAGATGGGGGGGTGGGGATGGGAGCCACAGGCTGGGAAGTGGTCAGGAAGGGACTAGAGGAGGAAGGGAGCTGCCCCATGAGCAGGGGCTAGGGAGCAAGACAGGAAAGTAGATAAAACGAAGTTGTGTGGGACCTTCAAACCCAGACAGACAAATATGGATTTTATTCACATTGAAAGTAGAAATATCAAGGTTGAGACTTGATCCTTTGCATACCTGTTCCACAGTTACTTTTCAAGAGACCCAGATCTTGGACTTCTTTAGTTTGAGAAGAGAACTGCTTGGTTTTCCAAATCCTCTAAAAATGACCCAAAAAGGAAATAGGAGAAACATATTAACTACAACCAAAACTTGTTTCCTCAGAGCACAGGAATTCCACTCTTTATATTTGCCTACATCACAATGGGTTTTTCCTTTCTTTCAGTTGCTATTTCATCCCACACAATGGAAGGAAGGAAGGAAGGAAGGAAGGAAGGAAGGAAGGAAGGAAGGAAGGAAGGAAGGAAGGAAGGAAGGAAGTGCACTCCCACTCCCACTTTCAGTACAGCTAGATCATGTTGGAATAATGATCATTGCATGTACTGCTATTAGTATGACTTATGCCATACGTTCTAACTTCAGCTTTCCATCCAAATATTAGATCTCATGACTCTGCTTGCCAACCTGGATATTTAATTCCATTTGGGCAAATACCCAGATCTACATGTTGAATACTATGTCATGTGGCCTATGCCCATCTCTAGTAAAGGATCCGTTGTCCTGATTGCTAGGCATGCTGTCAGCAGACAGTCTTCTGCTATTGCCCCTTCAGGGATCACCTTGGTCCCATAAAAGAGGCTTGCTCAAGTTCAAACCCTTTCCTAGAGCAGTCTACAACCAAAGACTGAGCACTCTGAGACTAAATATATTTGGACAACCTAGTCCATTCTAGCTCTAGAGATCCCATTAGTCATTCAGAATGGACACCAAGCCCATATCACAGCTTTCCCTCCCCTCTGTCCAGTGCTGACTGCATGAATGTTGATCCCCAGAGCCCTTTATCAATAATGTGCAAATGAAACATTGTCAGAAAGAATATCCTGGGGAACCCAGTTTACACCACTACGTTTCTCCCCAAAGCACAAGCCTAACTTGCTATTTTACTCTCCTTTTTCATCTCAGTTCAATATTAGGGAATGCCTATTGGTTAAGGTCATGATAATTTGTTCAGATGTTTAGAAGATTTTTTTTAGTACAATTCCAAATAACAATCATGTTTGTTCTAAAAATTCTGAAACTAGAAATAGTCACATGTCCATTATTAAAAGATCTGTTAGGATTTCAGGTACCAGAAGGCCCAAAATTAATCTTTTGATAAAGATCATATTTTATATTTAAGATGTTAGCCTATCTACTTACTGTAATTGAACCCAAATATGATAGTCAATCTGGAATAGAGGCTCATATCTCCACAGCAATTACTAGTAACTTTGTGGTTCTCAGTGAAAAAGACTAGGGGTCTTTTTGGAAAATGCAGAAATATTTTTGGTTGTTACAATAAAGGAAAGTGTCTCTTTGACATTTAATGGGCAGAGGCCAGGGATACTTGGTGTCTTACAATAAGTTAGTCAATCCCATCAGCAACAACAATAAAAATGACCCATATCCTGAATAATTTTCTGTGGTTCTGAAGGACATGCATATACTTGAAAACTCTATTTATAATTATTTTAGCCTAAGGTATAACTCCATTATGCAAAGCATCTTTTTAAAACTAAAAAAAGAAATTATTTTTGTCACAAGTTTAACATATACTGAATTTTCTGGGACTGCAACTACTATGTAATCAAGACTTTCTTGCAAATTTACCAAGAGCTCTTCCTGATTTGGTAATTCACTTCACTGGGCAGCCAAGACATCATACCTCTACCAGCAGCGGTTATGATCATGGTGACCATACACACAGGCAAGCCTCAGCCCAATCTGTTCACTTCTGGTCTTGTGCTACCAATCATGTGCATCCTGAAATATATTTTATTATAAAGCATTCTCCTTTGACTTCTCTTTCACTGCAATTAGGGAATCGTGTTATTTTTTAAAAATTCATAATGTGAATTTCACCTCAGGATAATAAGAGGTATTACAAAATATTTATAGAGAGAGATGATTTAGGTAAGGTTGAAAGCACTCCATGTAGAATACTTTGCCAATTGCCAAATATGTCAATTTATATCTTTATCATTTTAATAACACTTTTTTAAGCAGAGAAAACATATGACTATGACCCCAAATTCAGACTCCAAAATAGACCCATAATCACTGTTCATATTTTAATTCATGTTAATTAAAACACTACAATAAACTGCTCAGGTGAAAAAGAAAAGCATCTACAAAATTACAAAATATTCTTGTTTTATTTCTCTCTTATATTTTACCTTCTGTCTCTAGGTCAGAAAGCAAAGGTATCTCCCAAAGAGTCAATGTTTTATTTCTTGAACCTTAAAATTAGAAATTTATAATATTAAAAATGGCTTTAAAAGATACTAGTATATAAACTTAAGGCTGAGACAGATCAGATTAATGACTTTTACCTCATAAGCTGTTTTATAAGACTAGTTCCAAAGTAAACACAAATATGACCTATAGCTATTGAGCCATTAAGACTGGGAAAAGAACCAAATCTTGAATATTCCCCACCACTTCTCCATACTTATGCTAAGAAAATAATAACAATATATAATTAAAATCATGTACTTGCTCTTATGGCATGATTTTTATAAAATGAAATATTTCTGTTATCAATTTCAGTTAATGTATAATGATCATTTTAGTGTGTGTGTGTATATATATATATATATATATATATATATATATATATATATATATATATATTTTAGTTGTAGGTGGACACAACACCTTTATTTTATTTTTACGTAGTGCTAAGGATTGAACACAGTGCTTCCCACATGCAAGGCAAGTGCTCTACCACTGAGTCACAACCCCAACCCCATTTCAGTATGATTTTAAACAATAAGTATAACACCTACCATTTCAAAAGATATTTGCAAAAGTTTAAAGGGTTTTTTTTTGTTGTTTGTTTGTTTTTTTAACCAGTGAATTTAGAAGTATTTCATGCTCTTTTATAAATTAAATGTAGTCAAAAAGGCCATCCTGGTCATTCCAAAAAAAGAAGGAGGAAAAACAAAACAAACAAAAAAGACAGATCTAGAGCTAGAGAATGGACAGAGCTGGAGAGAATGAAGGACCTGTGCATTCAATTCTGTTAACAAAGCCCTGAAAAGACTCAGCATTTCTGTTTAAAATTTTAAAAGAATGAAAAATTAGTAGGAGATGAAAACTTTGGAAAAAGAGATGATACAAAGATAGTACAGAAAGAATACTTCCACCTACCTAGACAAGTTCTTGTATTCCTTATTTTTTTTTAAGTTGTATATGGGCACAATTCCTTCATTTTATTTATTTATTTTTATGTGGTGCTGAGAGTGAACCCAGGACCTCACACATGCTAGGTAAGTGCTCCACCACTTAGCCACAACTCCAGCCCTAACATTCCATTTTAACCTCGGAATAACCCATGGTTGTAGTACTGTCCAATAATGTAATGTACTCATTTGATATATTCTGTTCTGTCCTTCCCCTTGTATCCAAGGCAGCGCTCACAAGTGTGAAGAGGAGACTGGCCTTCCTAAGACACCCTTGGTCTATTATTCTCCCTTTAAAGCACAATCGTTTCTGAAGCTATATAAAAAGTATTTTAATATCAGTTTAACATTGATCATAAACTTTTCTTCAAAAAGCCATGGAGGAAAACACTATATTTACTCTTTTAGTACTATGATTTCCTCTCTGGTCCTATACTCTGAGTATTCAAACACAACCCAGCTTCCTCACCACTATCCACACCTCCCTCCCAACTCCACCCCACTCCATTGCCAAAAACCTTCCTGGTTTCCCTACAAGGAGGGAACTTACACACTAATTAATCATCAATATTGGTCTTAATTCAATCATGTGATTATTATTCCCTTTAAGGAATAGATTCACTCATTAACTCAACAATCAGAGGCAGTGTAATTGGTTTGTACATTTTATCAAATGTTCTCCTTGCTTTCTGCAGTCCTTAAATGTTCTTTAAAAGGGAGGGCTGATTAAAGCAAAAGGACTGTTCAAGGTGGTACCATAGTCAACACTCCTTATTAAATGAATACTTCTCAAGTATCTACTGGATTCCAGAAACTATTTTGACCCTGCTTATTATTATATTGCCAAGTGAGCAAAAACAGTCTTAGCCTCAGTCCTCCTAGACAGTGATCAATTAGTTAAACCAATGAAGGCATTATACAATGTATAATACAAGGTGTTGTGTTAGACCATAAGAGCATGATGTGCCTTGGAAGAATCAAGGAAGGCTTACCAAGGGATGTGAATAATGAAATACCGAGGTTAAATAAGAGCTGTCCAGGCTATCATCAAAAAAGACAAAAGATTAAGAGTGATGGAAAGGATGTGGAGAAAAAGAACCCCTTTACACTGTTGATGGAAATGTAAAGCAGTACAGTCATTATGGAAAACAGTATGGAGCTTCTTCAAAATATTTTAAATAGAACTGAACTACTACTATATGATATAGCAATCCCTCTGCTGATTATAAATCCAGAAGAAATAAAATCAGTATATTGAAGAAACATCTACCCTCCCCTCCATGTTTTTTTGCAATACTATTCAAAATAGTCAAGAAATGGAAAAACCTAAGTATCCAGCCACTGAAGAATGGGTAAAGAAAATGTGGTCCATAATAGAATACCATTCAGCTGTAAAAGATCATGAAATTCTGTCAGTTGCACCAACATTGGATTGAACTGGGGATTATTATGTTAAGTGAAATAAGTCAGGCATAGAAAGATCACATGATTTTAAATCATGTGGAATATAAAAAAGGTGATCTCATAAAAGTTGGGAGTAGAATGGTGGTTACCAAAGGGATGGGGAGAGATTGATCACTGGGTATTAAGTTATAGGTAAATAGGACTAAGAAATTCTGATATACCATTGCACATAGATTTCAAGAAGCTAGAAGGAAGGATTTTAAATGTTTGCACCATAAATAAATATTTGAGGAGATGCCTAACCTGATTTAAACATTACACAATATCTAACTTGATTGAAATATTACACAGTGTAAACACCTATCCAAAACTTCATGATATCCAAAATATTTTTATGTCAGTTAAAAATAAATTAAATTAAATGTAAAACTATTCTATAATTACATTCAAGTTAACCATTGTTGGAAAACTTTTAATAATCATATAATTAATCAATCATTCTACTTCACAATTTAATGTCAAAAGCCTGATTCCATGAGACTTAAAAAAAAAAAAAAAAGGAAAAAGGAATATAACTGAGCTGGAGGTGCAGCTCAGTGATAGAACATTTGCTTAAAAATGCAAGGCCCTGGTTTCAATCCCCAGCACTGCAGTCATATGTGTTCACACATGCAAGAACACACAGACACTCACACACACAAAAGACAACTGAAAGGAATTTGAATATCATTATAAATTGAATTAAATGAATTGAAGAGTATATAATAATAAATTATGCATAATCATTTTATGTGAGTAAAATATTTACCTTAGCAAAAACTATCTTCCACATTAAAAATACAACAGAGTTGGGCACAGTGGTGCATGCCTGTAGTCCCAGCAGCACAGGAGGCTGAGACATGAGGATCCCCAGTTCAAAGCCAGCCTCAGCAAAACCAAGGAGCTAAGCCACTCAGTGAGACCCTGTCTCTAAATAAAAGCAAAATACGGCTGGGGATGTGGTTCAGTGTTCGAGTACCCCCAGGTTCAATCCCTGGTATAACCCCCCCAAAAAATACAACAGAAACATAAAACCAAAATTTTCAGACATTTATTAAAAAAATTCTTACTACATAGAAGATAATAGGTGGCAGATTTGGAATCTCAAAGGCATAGATACGTGAAATTTCCCTAAATTTCTTTTTTTTTTTTCTTGTTTCTGCAGCACTGGGGACTGAACCCGGGTTTATTGCTGAGCTACATCCCTATCTTCTCCCTAAACTTTTGGTGCCATCACTTTTATTCTTATCTGAAGCAGAATCATTTATAGTAACAGAAAGAAACAGACTTACTTGTTGAATGAATTAACTAATTCTCTCAAATGTTTAATACACAATAATGCAATCTAGGTAACTTAAAAATATTGTGCCTATTTATGATAGCTGCCATTAATAATAAGTTGGGGAAGTAAAGCAATGCACAAATGTTTGCCTTCTCTGTGCCTCTAAGCACATTAGGAATCCACATTTAAGAAGGGAAGGAGGGAAGCTCAGTTTCATTCTACTATTGATCTATCAGACAAGAACTTAATCAATCTTCTTTATAAGCTATTAAAGCCGAGCTTGAGAAATGAACTCACCTGATGCATTCAACATTGATTGCCTCTTTCTAAGAACTGCATATGCCAGTCTTATCTACTACTACAGCTGTGATTCAATTTTTAAGGGACAAGATTTTTCCTTCATTAGTTTCTTCAAAATGTTCCAATTAAGAAAAAGCATTTTTGATACTGGCTCACAGTAAATGACTAAAGCAAAATGAAGACCATAACCCTCAATTTCAGTCGCAGCCTCCAGAGAAAACCAGAGACCAAAAGCATATGTTCATCAAAGGAAATTCAGCACTATTCCCAGGATCCTGCTCTAGCGTGAATTCTGAAAAATGTTCTGGCAGCCTGAAACTAATGTTGAGACCTTAAGCTCATATAAATCTTGGAAATTCAAAGGGAAACTCAAGGTAGCAGTAAATCTGTCTTTACTGTATATACATTTCAGCCAGGGGCTTCTATATGTAGTATTAGGTTATATGACATCCTATTCAGCATCTAACTGCCTCATAAATATAGGCAGCAAGGTCATTTTATATTTACAGGGCAACCCCCAGAGTGCTAGATGCTATACACTAGAGGTGGGCAGAGGGAGAAAGCGCCACACTCTCCTTT